TTGTATTCATTGGATGTGTAATGTAGTACTTTAATTTCCACGTTAAAAGATGCGCGAAATTAACATACTGCTTTACGAACAATTAGCAGGGTTAATATTACTTGAATGAAACCGTTCTTAACACAAACTAGTCTCACCTGTCGATTGGAAATTTACACACAGCGTGCGTACACTTACCCGGCGCCAGCTCCGAATGTAGTTAGTTTCAGCCATTTTTAATCGAAATTTATGGCAGAAAAATAACAGCATTCAGTCTGTAACTATGCCTATGCCACAATTCCATCCTTAAAACATCTGTCAATCGTAGTTAAGAATAGAAACAAGAAGAAACCTTCATAACGATGGCGTCCCAAAACAGTCCCCAAGTGTACTAAATATGGCCCTGGTAAGGTCAATTTTTGGGACGCAATTTTCACAAAGATAAGGACAAATAACACAAAACAACAACAAGATGTGTCTACCTCGAAGCGTCAAGTGTGGCTTTGAAGGATTGCCATCGCCGTAAGACAACAATCGAAGGGAAAAACACACACCAAAAATTAAAGTACCTCTAAAAGGTCCGAAAAAGAACAACATGCAGGCAAAGAAACCCTGCAATTCGACTGGTTTGTGCCACATTTTCGCCATCGTTTCGTCACAAATTTCCACTATGATGGAACCATCCAACGCCATCCTGGAGCACGAACCAACCAATCGGCGATAAGAAATCCCCTTGAGTTTTTGATATGTTGCAGTATTTGAAAAGGTTTTGCCTTCCATGGAAAGCCTTTCATCTTCTTGACAAGATGAGGTATATTTTATGGATGGTGGCGCTGCAGGAGGCCTGTGACATCATTATATATGATCGCCATCTTGGCCACCATCTTGCATTTAACCCAGAATTAGAAATCACGTAATCATCATCATGTTCATCATCATCATCATCATCATCATCATCATCACTTTTATCTATACACGGTAAAAACGTCAGGGAAATATACAATATCCTAGAAAAACTTACATACTATTCAATTAACAGTAATATCACTTACAAAGATGAATGTTGAAATAAATAAATAAAATTAATTTATAAATTAAAGCCTGTTTTCCGTGAATGCCGTGTTCGAGCTAGAAGTTGACAGTTTTCGAAAGCTAGTCAAAGATTTTGCTTGTCTTACATCAGTGGGCAAATTGTTCCACAGAAGAGCCCCGCTGTAGTAGAACCTATTTCTATAGTAATTGGTTCGTAGCAAGGTAACAGCAAGCTTATTTTCATAATCTTTAAGGTTATAAGAATTAAACAAGTCGCTGCGTAGTATGAATTTTGAAGACATGTTATCAGGTGCAAGGCAATTCAAAGATTTATACACCATCACAGCCTTCTGAATTTACCGCTGAGTTTCAAGGTTTTGCCACCCCAATGCAAGTCATTTAAAAGTATACTCGCATCTGCATCATAATTGGAGTTTGTGAGAACGCGTGCAGCACGTTTCTGGAGTCGCTGCAATTTATCACGCAACGTTTTACCACAGTTATCCTATGCCACGCTGCAATGGTCAAAATGTGATTTATACTTTGCTGTTTCATGCTTTATTTTAACCTGTACATTATACAACGAGATGTGAACCTTTGGGCTGAATACCTAAAAGAAAAGACAAAGGACCTGCAAATTACAGTAACCATATCAAAAGAACCGCTTATCATATATAAAATAAGTGGATTCAAATCTTAATTACTGTACAAAATGCCAAAAGATCCATCAACAAAAAAAAAAGACAACAAAGAAATCACGAATACCAAATACCCAAAACAGCTTAACACTGAAAAAACAACAAAACAGCTAGGAGAGAAAAAAAAAATCCCTAACCTATGCTCCAAAACTGAAAAACAATCGAACCTTTCCGGAAGAAAAAACTACCTTTCGTAAACTTTCAACTTTTAACTACCTCACCGTTATGAATAAAGTATACGAATACTAACAAGAAAAACAACTGGACATATCTCCCATAAATGAAAAGCTTGTCAGGCTCGGATTTACTAAAATACGCACTTTTACCGTCTTTCCTGGCTTTTTTCCGTCTGTCCATTTGCATTTTCCTTAGTTCGTGTAACTCCTTTGGAATATCTTCAAACATCTTGAAGTTTGTGTCTTAAGCTTACGACCACACTTGAACACGCGTTCCCTGTCCGAATACCTAAAAAGCCGGGCTATAATTAACAACAACAACAGCTTTATTTGTACTCCACATTGAATTATATATATATATATATATATATACTTTTGTTTTCTTGCACGTGCGCCCGTGTACATTTTTCACCCGTTATTGTCCAACTTGTGAAAAAACTCGAAAAGAACATGTCGCTGACTTTTTTTTTTAGAAAAGTGCATGTGCCCTGCAATACAAATTTGCAATGGCGAATTATATGGCTGATTAAAAGCCGTCACACAAAAAACATTTTTTTTTTAATATTCTGTGTCGTTCCGTTGAATCGGGAAAAGTCCCCGAATTGGTTGGCCATTAATGTCATGGCATCCATAGCAAGTGGCGAAGCATATATATATTTTTTTGATGGAGTGTATTATGCGCTGTCCAGAGGCGTTCTTAAGAGAAACTGTAAACTAACTTCAAAACATTATTTTGTGGCCGAGAGTTTATTCAGTCTTCAGTGAGACGTTGCCTTACAAGATGTGATTTTAAACAAAAAAAGTGAGGCATAAATATATATGACCAACTCATCATTTTTATGTTAAAATCTACTTCTATGAACCTCGGCAACGTCTTGGTCCGTTTTAATAAACTGCTATAATATTGTTGCTCCTTCCCACATATCTAATATCGCGGACATCATTCACCGTTACATCTTCCTTCTCAGAAAAAAAAATAGCGGTTTTGAAAACACTTTTTTTTTCATTTCATCTGCGTTGTTGTGAAAATTAAAATTTTTTAGGTTTCCCCCTTATCCTGTAACGACAACAGTTATATGACCTACAACTGACCGAATTCCGCATTCTTTAATTTTCAAGAGTATGCAAAAACAAGAGAATTGCAGACAATACAGCGTTTTCACTCACGTGGCAAGCATCTATGCAAATTTATTGGGACAAAAGAAAACGTTTACATAAGAAAAGAGTTCAACTCCCAAAGGATTTTCTCGGTAAACCAACATGGCCGCCGTTTCGTTGTTTTAGAACACCAATATGGCCGCCGTGACGTCATGTGAAAACGCTCTATATTCGTGCATTCTTATTTTTTTTCTGAGAAATTGGAACTAAGAATCTGACGACGACAAAATTCATCGTTCAACCGCGTTTTTTCGCAAGTTAGACAATAACAAGTGAAAAATGCACACGAGCGCACGTGCAAGAAAAGAAAAGTATATATCTATCTTATATCTCTCTATATGAAAACCTTTTTGAAAATGGGTGTATATATATACATATATATACCCCTACTACTATATATATATGTACTATGTATATACTATTATAAATATGGAAAGTAAAGGCTGCCCATAATAACCATTGAGGGCTAAAGAGATTGGGCAGCCTTATTTAAGTTGTTAATAAATGATTTTGTTAGGGTCAGGTACACACGACACACAGCTGCACAGAAAAAAAAACTCGTAAATAAAAGAAAAAAATTCAGACAGCAAAAAAAAAAAAACTAAGTGTGCCAGTATTAAGCAACGGAAAGCCAGAAAAATATAATTGTACGGCTACCATTTCCACTACCACTCCTAGGTTTTCCGATTCTATGTACACGTTGGAATTCGATGCCTTTCGCGTCCTCTAAACCAAGAGCGTCTTCTATAAAATTAACAAGAACAGTAGTAGAGTAGGGTCAAAATTAACCCCGTTGGTGCCTTCCCTTGCCTTCCGTGTGCCTTCCCTTAATTAATAGGCATAAGGGTCGAGTCTATGACGTCACCCATTGTTTTATCCTAGAGAAAAAAAGTGCCTTCCTCCATACTAATTAAGTGCCTAGTCACTGCCTTCCTCCATATTAATTAAGTGCCTAGTCAGTGTCTTCCTGCATACTAATTCGGTATAGGTTTACTAATGAGCGTCTCTCTACTTCCATAGAAACAATAGGCTTGCCTCGACTTGCCCGTGAAGTAACTTGGGCCCGGTTTTCGGACCGTCTATTAAAAGGAAAATAGGAATAAGAGAAGCGATCACCTAGCAACGCGAGAAACGACTTCCTATATCTTATTTAGCGCTAAAACTCAGACATATAAACAAAACACATACAGAAAGTGGAGTTGAAAAGTCTTTATTTCAATAAAGTTTACGTCTTCTTATTTAGCGCTAAAACTCGGATATATAAACAAAACACACGCACATACACAAAGTGGAGCTGAAAACTCTCTATTTCAATTTTGTCTGACGTTTTCTCCGTTCTATCTCGAGTAAATGAAAAACTGTTAAAGTCTCAAGGTTTCACGCACCGTTAGTTAGGTAATTATGCGAGTTCACAAGCCCAAAGTTGAATACAAATTAGCTCTACAGGAAAAACCTCAAGGGAGCATATTGGCGTATTATTATAAGACAAATAACTTAACAACGATCAATTGATTAAACACGCGACTAACAATTGTTAGCAATAACATCAGACACGAGATACCGTTTAAAACAAAAAGAGTCAAATACACAGCGATTTGAAAGACAACTATTAAAATAGTCAAAGAAAGCAAGGTATCTTTTTTTTTACCCCTTTTCCCTCCTCATTTTTTTTATTCCCGCCTCCACAATTTTATTATTTTCGCTCCTCATTCGTAAACAAGTCCCTCCTCGACAATTGTAATATTTTCCTTTTTTTAATTCTCTCCACCACAATTTTAATATTTTCCTTCAATTTTATTATTTTTCTCTCCTCAATGTTATTATTCCCTCCTCCACAATTTTATTATTTTCCCTTCTCCTCCTCCTCCTCCTCCTCATTTCTATTGTTTTCCCCTAGTCAGGTATAAAGGATTTGCTTACGGCATTCATTGATATCTGTTTTTCTCTTGTCCGCACTCTCCTGAAACTCAGTGATTTTTTCGTCAATAAATTTTACGTCTTCTTTCATATGGGAACATCTATTTCTAATCAAGAGACTTCTGCTTTTCTTTAACGACCACGACGTCGGTCTCTATATAGGATACTTTAGTTTGAAGACCCTTCACTGTCTGATTAAGGTCGTCGACTGATTTTTTCATCCAGCTTCGTTAATCTTTCGTTAGTCATCGTCAGTCTCGCTAGAATAAAGTCAAGCTTCTTCGCAAGGCTTTCAGTTGGGCTTAAAGCTGCCATAACTTCATCGCCGCTGTTAGCTTCATCACTTGCTAATGGTTCAACTTTTTTCGTCGGGAGAAACTAATACTACTTCTTGATTTTCTCTTTGGGGTTAGATAAATTGACGTAGACGCCATAGGCACTTCAATAATATAATAAATTTCTTAACGGCCAGCGGAGCAAAGTAACACACGTCTACATGCGGCGACGGTCTCCCTAGTCTCCCTAGGAGATACAGAAGATAAGAAGCCCGACCAACGGAATCAAGAATCACACTCAAATACAGAAGTACAATGAGCCTCCTGAATACAGACGACATCAACAGTACACGGGAGACTACGTAACCACTGCGAGAGACCTGACGGCTTGTCAAGGCCGCGAAGATCATTGATGTTAATAGAAATGATGGATAACGACGCGAAAATGAAGCAAAGAAAACTCATCATTTCTCATGAAGAGCGGGGGCAGAGAAGCCAAAGTGGAAGGCAACGAGTGCCTACCAGGTACACGAGCGGCCCTACCACGGCCGGGACTAGGAGACGCGACAAGAGAAACAGAGAGCTCTTGCCAACGAAGGGGCAGGAAAAACAGAACGGTTCCTACCAGGCAACACTTAACGATAGGAACCTTCTTAGCACCCCGACTAGGACTCGGGGGCAAAGGCTTGGCAAGAAAAACCGCTACTCACACTATACCCACTATCAGAGGAGAGCTCAGACAGGGCCCGCCTGCGGGCAACAGATTCCTCGTCCATCGAGATTTCGCCTTCCTCCAAATCACCCCCGCAGGATTGACTACCAATAACACTAATTTAGACATTAACATGTTTAGATTGCATTTCATTATTACTTCCATTATCAGTACTTTGCTCATTAACAACATTTTCTTCACTGCTACGTTCACTACTATTAACATCACTATTTGCAATAATTTCCACATTACTACTAATAATATGATTAATACTTTCATCATTAACATTACCAACATTATTAACATTACCGTAATGACGGTCACCACAAGATTAGCACGGCCGCCGTACTTGAGGACCCGGCAGTACCAGAAGCAAGATGTTGAGCTTCGGCCGGAGTAGGATCCGCGCTCCTCTCCGCAGCTGATTATACAGCCTGCAGCCTACGCCAGGCCCCAGAGGGGTAATTGCGAGCAATATGTCCTTCCGGTTTACAAGACCTACAAAGCCCCTTCAAGAGCCACTCAGCCGTGACGTGTCCATTGGCACAGACGTCGCATCTCGCCGGCTGCCCCATATGCCATATCTTAACGCCAATTCCCCCAATATTCAGATTGCGAGGGATGGGTTGCTTCACTTCCATCTTGACAAGCCGAGTAACAGTATGCACGGTTGGCAAATTAGGCCAATGTTGTCTGGTACAATCCTTTACCTTGCTGTAACCCCAGCCCCACCCCACCTCCCCCCCAACACCAACACAGCGATATCGTCCAGATCAGAGCCCTCATGAGGATAATGATAGACATGGACCATCACTATCTTAGGAGTTTTTGAAAGAACCTTGCACTCCACATCGCGAATAACGAGGTAGTGAACCTGGCCTGTTCCTGGTTTTACAGACACCCACGGCGGAAGGTCACTGCCAAATATCTGCATTTTTCATGGCGGATTTTGAAAAGCTCTAGCGTGCTTCACTCGAAGTGATTTGCACAAAGAAATTTGTACAGAACTCTGTAGATCATCCTTCGAACATTCAACCACCAGAAGCTTAGTCGATTTGAAGGTTTCGCACATGGTGAAAATTTATTTTCTTGACACATTATTTTGCTGAAGTAAATAGACCCCTTCACGGTCGTGAGTTTATGCTGGGTTAAATCAGGACAAGAAAAACAATCCGGAAATCTCACACCCAGAGTCTTCTGGGGTTTTGGTCAGCGGGGCAAAGCCAGGGAAAACTCTGGGGACATCGATTTATTCGATTTTTTGACTGGTTGTTTCTTTCTAACGGGAAGTTGAGTACCAAATAAATTTCTGCATTTTTATTGGCTGTTGTCCATGAGCGGATGCTTATTGCATGCTTCCGGCGGAAGGTAGCCGTTTGCGAGTGAGTTTTGAAGGAATCGACGTTTGTAGTTCAAAAATCCTTTACTAAACCACCATTCTGTTCTTCAAAAGCCAACGTGTGAATAAGTTTAGCGCTGAATAACGCATCCAAAGCTTTTCGCTCACAAATATTGTGCTAGATATCATCTTCGTCGAACCACGCAGCTCATGCTCAGTATCGATCTGTTAAAACACCCGGGACGAAGATAGCAAGAGAAGAAAAAGACAACAACAAAGTTCTTCTAATAGTTAGGAGGGAAGAGATTTATGTGCAAGAAAAAGATCCGGCAGATCGAAAATCAATCATAAACCGAGCCGAGATTTGATTCTAGACATGAAAAGGTTTGTAGATACCGAGAGAAGGACAACAAATGTCTGGAAAATTTCGCGACTTTGAGGAGATATATCTTGGTTAGTTTTCCACAAATCACCTTCAAACCGCTGATTTTTAGTTGTTCATATCACAGGCAGCCCAAACTCACGTTACGAGGAAAGAGTGTAAAGTAAGTGACGAGTGACTTTTCTACTGGGCGCGTCGGTGTCGCGTTACAGCACAGGTAGCCCAAGCTCACTATGAGAGCCGTGGACAACATTATCCCACTTAGCTAATTAATTATTCATACAGCAAGAAAATTATAAGACGTTGTATGGAGAAATATTCTTTGCTCACTAAATTAGCAAAATGTACATTGAATATCGCTTTCAAGCTTACCTTTAGCGTCTTCTTGTTTTTCTTTGTATTCTGACTGCATTTCAGACCTCCTAGGCACTGTTTAAGGCCTTTTTTGGAGCGACAGTTTTTCACCCAGATGACAGTAGAGAGAAGAGAAGAGAAGGTTGGCAAACCTCTCTTGACCGGCTCCGCTCTCGGAGGCGATAAATTCCGTGACATTTGCGACATGGAGACAATTCCGCCAGAAACAGATGTCCTGATAGATAACGCACATTTGCCATCATTCACATCGCCAAAATTCCCATTTCGAAGGTCCTAAATCGCCAACGAAGTGGGCAATACACGTCTGAGGTGAGGCGAGTCGAGAGCAGACCCGCAACGGACTCCAACCGTCACGTCGACAATTCAAACCGACGCGGGCTGGCAGGGTCAAATTGTTCAACCGTCAAAGAACAATTGGAGCATTTAGCCTACTGGGCACAGTAACTGATTTTTCACTTCTCACATTGCATTCCGGGGTCGCGGAAGTCAAGCATCGCGTGTGATAGTGACATGTAATATCAAAACATGTCGCGTTGTTAATGTTAATGTTTTCTGCCATGATTAATAGTAGCGTCAAGAAATCCAATCAATACAAAAATAGCTACTACATTTGGAATTCAAATTTCAGAAATAGTCTGCTTGGGCTGTAAGCAGCTGATGTATAAGTTGATCTTGAAATTGGTGTAGCTAATGTGGCAGAATTACCAAGAGAAAATTTTAAAGAAATATTTATTTACATATTTTCTTTCCGTAAAAACACTCACAATAGATAAGAGCACCTGCCGGAAGATCCTGTCCCCAAACTTGCTACTTACTGCCACTTGTTGAAAAAGGGAGGAAAAATAGCTAACAACTGTTTACAGCCGTAGTAATTCTTATTGCAAAATTTTTTTCTAAATCAACAATAAAAAACCATTGTCAAACGCTTTTTAAAAAGAAGAGTAGAGATCAAAACATTAATACATTAATAACGCGACATGTTTTGATATTACAGGTCACTATCACACGCGATGCTTGACTTCCGCGACCCCGGAATGCAATGTGAGAAGTGAAAAATCAGTTACTGTGCCCAGTAGGCTAAATGCTCCAATTGTTCTTTGACGATTGAACAATTTGACCCTGCCAGCCCGCGTCGGTTTGAATTGTCGACGTGACGGTTGGAGTCTGTTGCGGGTCTGCTCTCGACTCGCCTCACCTCAGACGTGTATTGCCCACTTCGTTGGCGATTTAGGACCTTCGAAATGGGAATTTTGGCGATGTGAATGATGGCAAATGTGCGTTATCTATCAGGACATCTGTTTCTGGCGGAATTGTCTCCATGTCGCAAATGTCACGGAATTTATCGCCTCCGAGAGCGGAGCCGGTCAAGAGAGGTTTGCCAACCTTCTCTTCTCTTCTCTCTACTGTCATCTGGGTGAAAAACTGTCGCTCCAAAAAAGGCCTTAAACAGTGCCTAGGAGGTCTGAAATGCAGTCAGAATACAAAGAAAAACAAGAAGACGCTAAAGGTAAGCTTGAAAGCGATATTCAATGTACATTTTGCTAATTTAGTGAGCAAAGAATATTTCTCCATACAACGTTTATAATTTTCTTGCTGTATGAATAATTAATTAGCTAAGTAGGATAATGTTGTTCACGGCTCTCATAGTGAGCTTGGGCTACCTGTGGTTACAGGCGACCGTTGAAAATAAGATACTTTGTATGAGAAATAAAATACTGAGATCTTTGAACGCTAAATAAGGTTAAATCTAATTTACTCCCTTCATAAGACGAAGGGAGTAACAGCAGTTATGCAGTAAAGCCAAAAAACCAGTAAAACGACAAGCAGACACTGAAACACAGTGGAATGCATCGCAGGTAAGTATTTTTTAGTCATTTCATTGAAGGAAAAATTAGATTTAACGTTATTTAGCGTTCGAAGATCTCAGTATTTTATTTCTCATACAAAGTCTCTATTTTCAACGGTCGCCTGTAACGCGACACCGACGCGTCCAGCAGAAAGGTCACGCGTCACCTATGGTAAGTAAATTACTCTAAACCCTTTCCTCGTAAAGTGAGTTTGGGCTGCCTGTGTTCATATTTGCGTGACGGGCTCATATTTTAGGACAGGCCGAGTGGTAGAATGCATAGTTGTCTTGTGCTAAATATTATAACAGCCGCATATTGAACGTATTTGCCAAAACAAGTAATGGCGAAATATTGTCGATGAAACAAGCTTTCAAACCATAGGTGTAGGAGCAAAATTAAGCAAAGGAAGGCCGAAATATCGCTGTTCGAAACTGTGGATTTGGGGATTTTGGGTTGGGTTCCAATGGATTGTGCTGGATTACGTTTGGGTCGTGTTTTCATGACAGAAAAGGACGCTGTTAATCGTTTTAAATTGAGCTAAAATTGCTATATTTGTCGCCCACTATGTCGACTTTCAGGAGTGAGCGGCAAACTAAAAAAATCAGACGTAAACGCGGCGGCCAGCCCCAGGTTGAAAGACTAATTTAAGCAATTTACCCCGTAACATAGAAGGATTAGGAGAGGGAGATCACAACTAAAATCAGCCTCAAAAAGGACGTTGTTAACGGACTTTTGTAGATGAAAGATTCATACAGTGTGATTACGGATACTTTCTACTAGTGGATGCAAGGGTGGCAAATTTTATAGGTAGGCGAGAACTTTTTCTATTCTCAAATACAATTTTCGCTCCCTTCATTTCTTTATAAACCAAATCGCCAAGTTTGTCTCCAAAATATGAGAAAGCCGCTTTCGTTACGCGGGCCATGTGGATAAAAATAGCAAGATATCAGACTTGCGAGTGGAAATAGAAAGTTAAATTCCACTGAAACCGCCTTACTGCACTACGCGGACCAGCTCCTAAAAATATGGACGAAAAACGGATTTCGCTTGTTGTGCTGCTCGACATGTTTAAAGCTTTCGACAGCATCCAGCATGACAACTTATTATTGAAGCTGCACTCACTGGGTGTGTCGACGCCTCTTTACCCGTGTTTAAGAGTTACCTATCACTACACAAGCAAGTTGTCAGGATTAGCAGTGTCCTTTCCAACCCCCTCCCAGGGACAATGGGTGTGACCCAGGTGTCCATTTTCGGTCCAGTTTTGTTCACCTTGTATGTCAACGAGCTTCTCTCAGCACCGAAGAAGTGCGAAGAGCCATGGGCTATGTAGACAAGCTGCTTTTGGCTCATCTTTCTCCGTCAGACATCAGTGTTGCCATTTCTGACCTCAACCAACAGTGACCTCTCCGAAGTCGCGAAGTGGTGTTCAGTAAACTCTCTGTTAATCAACCCAATAAGCTCCTTGTTGTTGGAGTTCCTGACCACAACTAACACGAAACTTATCTTTACCTCCTGCCGTTCTATTGGAAAAGAACATCAAGCCCTCTCCTGTTTTAAAAGATTTGGGGGTCTGGATCGACTCTGCCGTAACTTTCGACGACTATATAGCTAAACTGTCCACGAGCTGCCTGTATAATGTACTATGCATCAATAGAATTTAACATCTTTTGGACAACAAAACCCTTATTTTGATTATCAATGATATTTTTTTAGCAGGGTTTTTTATTGTTCCAGTATGGGAAATTACATCCGGCAAAAACATGTCTAAGCTTCAATTTATTTAGAACGGCTTTGCTTGAAGAATAATACTAGTATATAGGTCTCAGAAAAATTGATCATGTCTCTGCTGAGCGCAAATCCATACTACCCGCAAAAGATTTGTAATTTTCACATATAGCTATTTCAAATTAAGCTGAAATACTAATTTAACTATAACTGAGAAATGGCTTGACCACATCATATATGAAAGCGATATGCCTATTCCAGGATATGATAAATGCGGATATCAATTCTGTGAATAGATATCTTAACGAAGACTATTAGGGTCAAAGGTTTTGACATTTCTGTAAGTAACAGCAGAGTGGCTTTTACAACACAACCAAATTAAAAGTATGCGAAATGAATTAATTAGGCTATGATCGCTGATGCCGATATGAGAGATGCCAGAGCAAATAATTTTATTCGGCTTATTAGTGAATATTAGATCTACTGGTGTAGAGGAAAATTCAGTAACTCGAGTTGGCTCACTACTTAGCTGTTAACACCAGCCGTTAACACTTTTGTTTCGTGATCTAAAGTGGACGCTCCGACATTACAGTTCATATCTCCCAAAATATGTCATTCCATATTCTGGGCATCAATTTTACCGAGAATTAGTAGAATTACGAGCTCTAGGCCATGGTTCCATTATTTTAGAGTTCTGGGCCGCAAAGGCAGGAGTGTGGTATGAGGTTGGGGGTGGGAGATGGCTAATAAAGGTCAATAAATACAGTATAATTCATGTAATAAATAACTTCAGACCTGATACAGACTTTTTACCAAACGCTGACGTAAGTTATTATCATTTTGCAGCTCAGTTACCCAGGCATTTCGTGTTGATACCAAACAAATCAATCTATGTGCTGAAAGGGAAGAGTGGAGAAGTCACATGTGAAGCTGAGAGCCCTTCAGTTTCTACCCTGAAGTGGGAAAAGGAACAGGATGATAAATCATATGCAGCCGTCCCCAACAGCCAAGTTAACATCACTAAAGATACAAAGTATGTGAGAGCAACCCTGAAGATTACAAATGCCCAGTTCGCGGACACTGGTATATACAAATGCACGGTATCAGTTCCACCAAATAAATCGGATTATAAGCTGACAAAGATAGAAGTCAAGGGTATGTTTGTACTCTATTTCATTGTAAAGGTTACTTTTACTGTTAGTATCTCATCATTTCTGCAATACATGGCCCAGCGGCCAGCACATTAGACTCACAATACGGTTGTCCCCAGTCCATGTCCTGCTCTAAGCACTTGCTGAATTTGTTTTTTGGTAGCTAGGCGGCCGTAGTGCCACAGAGTAAATCTACCGAGTTGTGTAGCTCGGCGGCCGTTATTCCACAAAGTAAATCTACCGAGATGTGAAGCTCGGCGGCAACATTTCATCGTGTGATATTTTCGGCACTGGACAAACGAACAGCTAGGCAGGTGCAAAAGTCAGACCGGATCAACTCGGACCGCCAGTCCGGGTCGGATCAACTCGGTTTGACTCGGATCGACTAAAAAAATAAAAACAAAATAAATTGGATTTCGGATCAACTCTGATCATAAAAAGAAAAATTAAATCAGTCGGTGTCACTTACCTTTCACCCGCCATTTTGTTTTTTTCTCACGAACTCGTGGTTGCGTAAATTAATTTTATTTTTATTTTTATTAATTTTAATGATACACTAGTGAGCAGCACACATACACCTCCAGTGAACATTTTCAGCTTGGAAGGAGGAGAAACCTTGCTCGCCCGGGACAAAGGAAATTTTCATACCCCGGGCTAGAATCGAACTCGCGACCCGGCTTCATTTTGCCAACAAGTTCTTAAAAATAACTGAGCAAAATTGGCCAAAGAAATGTTCTTTAACAAAAGAAAAAGAAACCCGGGTTAAGCGCTTATCGGCCTCCGAACAACTGCGCCCAGTAGAACATCTATCGCGCGCAGTAAAACAAAAAGTTCTTTTTACACGCTCTGAAGCACTCTGGCCAGTGTCTCCTCAAATAACAAGCACTTGAGACGAACCATACGATATCACGCTGATCACTAGCCTTCAAAACCTTTTCATTATGATACACAGTTTGGATCGAGGTTTCACTGTACGCAACCCTTACGTTCAAAATATGCCATAATCATATTTAACTATACCGCAACCACCCTTCCCCCTCAACTGCTACCTGTACCCCTAGCAAACATGTCGAACGCACACTCCTAAGCTCCGACTACTCCTAGTTTTACGCTCGGTAAATTGAAAGCTTGCGGATTCTATGACAATACGATAAGCCTTCTATACGTAGCTATTTATGTTATCGATACAACCGGGTTTGAACAGGATCCATTACGAGCTCGTGGAGTGACTAGCCGAAAATGTCCACAAGTATCTGCACTGGGACCGTTGCTTTGAAATATTTTCCAAAACGACTGGACCTACTATATCAGTTCATCTTTATCTGTGTACGCTTATGACCGCCAGATCTACGAAACAACATTTGGTTACCACCAAACTAAAGGAAAAGTACCGCTGTTGCAATTAACTGGTATGAATCCAATTTTTTGGAGGGAAATCTGAAAAAGTACCAGACAATAAACATCTGTCGCAAGGGTGTCAAAGAGCACAATGCCCATGTGATTAATATTAAGGGCACAGACATCAGCCTATGGAGCAGCCTTAAACTTGTAGGAGTAACAGTAGATGACAAACTATGTTTTAGCGAGCATTAGCTTTATAAGGCTGCTATCTTACCTCATTTAACTTATGTGCCATTTGTTTTGGCATTTTTGTCGAGCAAGCGATACACGCAGGTTAAAAAGAATACAAGAAAAAAGACTAAGAGCCGTATTTAACGTCAGAAATTCAAGTTACCAGGCTTTATTAGATAGCGCAAATTTACCCACTTTAAGAAATACTAGGCGATTATAAGATATTTGCATCTTGATGAATAAAATAAACTGAAAAATGGACTTAGTCCCAAACCGGTTCGCGATCTATTCACAACCCAGCAGTGAGTTTATATCCTCAGATAGTCAGACTTTGCTCTACCTCGCTTCGCTGGAGTGGCTAGCGGAAAGGTGGCACTCCATAGTCTTGTATTTTGACAGAAATAAAGCATCATTCATTTATTCATTCAAGAATCATCCTTTGGAAGGATAAGTGCCTTAGTGACCCTGTACAATCTTCCCTGATCACGGCTGTTGTCTCTCATAAGATAGAATTCCCTGCGTGCCGTGTTGTTGATGTCGGTTACACGATTTCTTGATACCTTGAACATGTCCAGCGCCTTAGATATCCTCGTCTTCCTCTATCTTTTCTCCGCTTTCATGCGCCGCCTCTTCGCGTCTGCAAAATCCGAGTTGTATCAAGGAGCCTGAGGCCTAGCCCTAACAATTTTCGTTCTCAAGTAGATTAAGGCCCTGGGTCTTTACAGAATTCTCAGAATTTTAAGAGGGGCGGTGGTCTAGTGTAAGTATTTTCAAGATATCCCATGACTTTTAATTTAAGGTGATTCCTTAGTAAAAGAGCCTATCATAGATTGTAGGTGAAACTTGGTAAACTGATGTAACAGGTCAAGAAGATGATAAAAAAGTAATAAAAAGTGGGGGTCACCATGCTCGTTTTGACGTCACAATGCTGACAAATACGGCTATTTTGGACCCGTTGACATAAACTGCGCGCAGCCCAAAACTAGGCAAAAAGGAGAGATTTTTTCGATGATGCATGTGGTATCGCACAGAATTTGACTTTAATGTATTGTTTATCCACTTACCTACCAGAAAAAATACCCTTTAATGCCCTCGTTGTTACGTTACGCTTAAAAGTAGAATTAAATTGGACACGCGCTATTCGACCCATGATAGCTCAATCCGTTTTTACAGAATTTACATCGAGATATCACATTTAGGACACAGTGTGATAAAGAAAGCGTTTAAATGAAAAATGAAAGTGAGTAAGCACAAGTTAAACATCCACTATCGAGGTTCTCCGTGAGGAAGTCGAACTCAGCAACACGCGTACTGCTTACGTTATGCACATTCCCAACACACTGAGTCTCACCTCGGCAAGAAGCAACCGCAAGCAAAAATTCCAATAGCGTTTCTCTTCAGTCAACTTCATTTTAATAATGTTACTTCATATGCTCTTTTTATACGGCGGCCATCTTGTTATGCGCAGCAAGAGATGCGCAGTGCAAAGCCAGGGAATCACCTTAAGGCTAATCGAAATTGTTTAGAACTGCATCACGTGACCAGCCACGGCTTGTTTTATCAAGAAAGCCTTTGAGTCGAAAAGCCCACTAGACAGAGAGCAAACTGTGTTCCTTTGGTGGGTCTAAAAAAAGGCTACTAATACTCTTCTTGTAAAAACGGTAGAAATGAAACGAGGTCAATAACCGTCTTTCTCCTGAAGAAAATTTTAGTTAGAGCAGGGCTGGCACTAGCCAATGTACACCAATCGCACCTGCCAATTGTAACGTTTCAAGCCATTCCGCGCTGATTTGTAGATACTTTGTAGGGTCAACGTTTTGACGTACAGAGAAACTGGAGTTATACGTTTGGCAAGTGGTGGAAATCGTACGTTACAATTTTCAAACAATAGAGGGCGTGATCGATCACGTGACCAAGTAATTTAGATTTATTATTTATTTCAATTTTTTTTTAAGTTTAGTTTACTTTATTATCAATCTTTCCCCGTGGATGAGAATGGTTTTTGGAAAATGTACATAAAAACCATAATGATTAGACCCAGGCCTTAATCTACTTGGGCTGTCAGTGGCGCGTGACGAGCCATGTTACTACTGTAGCCAGACTCGCATTGTAGTCGCATACAAGCATATCCAGATCAGAGGACTAAGAAGGGTTATCCTGCCCACTCTTGCTTACGTCTATGCAAGATCGTGCTTGAGACAGCCCATGTCGACCGCCGTCGCCTTCCGGCACGAAATATTTTGATTTTTGAAAAGCAGGCTTGTTGATGTTGATGTCGCAATGAACAGCGGCACGATCAGAGAGATAACGATAAACGCGTGGTGGACGAGCTATGGTGTTTTCCATTTTCTGCGTGATAACAAGATCAAGGATGTGGCCGTGAGTGTGCTCAAGGCCGAGTGATTCCAGAAGATCCTTAAATTTTAAGTACTGTATCAACGTCGGTAGAGACATCCATGTGGATGTGGATATTCAAGTCTCCAAGTTGTATGAATTATTACATGGTCTTTAAACAAGGCAGTTGATTTCAGTGCAAAGACGGAACTACCGGCTTATACGTAACTTAGAAATTGCAGGCAATAAATTCTCTTTCAAAAAGTAGATGTTTCGGGACTTCTTCTCGGAAGAGACCTCCTATGGTTGGCATACTGTATTTGATGGACTGGACTGGACTGGACTTGTAAAACGCGGACTTATAAAACGGGGACTTATAAAACGCGGACTAGTAAAATGCGAACTTGTAAAACGAGGACTTGTAAAACGCAAAAAAAAAATGTTGGCTTTATTAACACGATCATCACAATGTACAAAATAGTGATGTAAATAAGCTAGCAGAAACTCTAAGAGCCAAGATCAACGAACTTGACGAAGTTTTGAAGGTAATCAAAACCGCTCCTGAGAATAAACGATGTGAATCTTATCCCCGTTTATTATCTGAGTCTTTAGAAATAAGGGGAAAAGCAAAGGATAAATTCAGAAAGCAAATTAAGCGGTTTTCAACCGAAAGAGAAAATTAAGAACGAAATAGAAACAAAGGGAAAATGCGTTACAACAACATAATTGAGTCACACAGAAAACACATCAGAAACCTGTCAAACGAACAACTGACAGATGAGCAAATCACTCTGCTCTCCTGGGGTTTAAAATTTATCCCTACACCCGTAACAACAGAAAACAACATCATGCGCGAACTTCTAAAAGATTTTGATCTCTTTGCGAGACGAATGCGCCTCCAGTACATATATTACGGTAAAGAAAAGAGCCACATCCATGTAACGTCAAATCAGACTGGAATCCACCAGTCCAGCCTTCCATGGCTTTAGAACCCTTCCTAGAAGAAGTGAAATTAGAGCTCGCAGAGATTCAATTCAAGAAACCAAAACCTAACATCACACCCGGAGAGCTACAAGCACTCAAACAATTGCCGCGTGACAAAACCATTATACTCAAAAAGGCAGACAAGGGAACAACATCCGTGATGATGAGCAAAGAAAGTAAAATAAACGTGGGTTTAGCTTTGCTGAATGAGAAGAACAATTATCAACCCCTCACTCAACCTATGGTTGAAACCACAACCAGAAAGGTTACGCAGCTAATGAAGTCGCCGCTGCAGGAAGCCCACATTGACGATATGACAGCCAAATGGCTATCCCTCACGCCTAATCTTCCGCGTATCCCTATTTTCTACACACTTACAAAGATTCACAAAACGACGCCTGTCGGTAGACCTATAATATCAGGGTGCGATGGCCCCACGGAGCGAATATCTGCATTTGTAGATCGACTCATTCAGCCAATACCACAGAAACAAGCCTAGTATCTAAAAGATACGACAGACTTCCTGAATTTTATTGAGAGTACAAAATTGCCTAAAAATACAGTCCTAGTCTCTATGAACGTTACTAGTCTCTACACCAACATACCAGACGAAGAGGGCGTAACCACCGTATGTCACGCAACCGAAGATTTTTAGGGGGACAAAGCCCCTATACCCACCAAATACCTAAGAGAAATGCTCTACCTTATATTAACAGAAAACTCGTTCCAATTCTGCGGTCGTAACAACTACCTACAAACCCATGGAACAGCCATAAGGAACTAAGATGGCCGTTGCTTTTGCAAACATCTTCATGGCCAGAATAGAAAAACAAATATTGAGTCAGAGATGCATCAAACCGCTTTTTTGGAAAAGGTATACTGACGATGTGTTTTCGCTATGGAACACAAGTCTAGACAAAATAGAGAGCTTTTTTGGAAAAGGTAAATAACTTTCACTTTACGATAAAATTCACGGCTGAAATGTGAGAAACAGAGATCACGTTCTTGGACACAAAATTGTACAAAGGGGTTAGATTCGACAAGGAATCAATCCTAGACGTGCAAACAAATTACAAACCAACAGAAACATTCCAGAACACGAACTTCTACCCGCGTCACCCACCAGGCGTGAAAACTGAGGCTTCATCAAAGGGGAAGCGCTCAGGCTTCTAAGGACTAATTCCTCGCAGATCACATTTGAGAGGAATATCAGAAATTTTCACAACCGCCTGTTAGAAAGAGGCTACCCTGCCGCTATTTTAAGAAAGTACCTCTCTGATGTAAAATTTGCCGACAGGAAACAGCCCCTACAACAGAGAAACAAATCCGCACGCAATTAAAACTTCTACCTTTTGTTACACAATACCACCCGGCTCTACCTAGCCTGAAGAGAATGCTTATGGGGAAATGGCACCTTATACAAAACCAGCAACGACTAAGAGAAATCTTTAAGGAGCCTCCCCGCATATCTTATCGCAAGGGAAAATCTCTTAAGGACCTACTAGTTAGAGCGAAGCTCTGAAGGTCATCCTACTTCCAATACGACTTAGTGCAGCAGTCGTGTGATGCCCGTCGCTTATTTTTAACCATGTTTAAGCTGTTCTTTTATACTTATATCTCTCCATTCGAAACGAGGAAAATTAACACGAGCTTTTCGTTTTTTCACGAGACACGGTAGCTTGAAAGAAGCTGCCAACTTCTAGCCTGCGTTGCAGCCGGCCCACGTACTCGTCTAAACCATTTGTATAGTCCGTCTGCGAATTAGTGCACAAAAGCTCGTTATAATATCCTGCAGAGTCGCAAGGACATATGTGAGCGTTTCTGATAGGCGGGTTTCTTACGGGTTTCTTACAAGCCGCACGATTGGCCTAATTTTTACGTGTGCGTGACGGTTGGGCGCAGTGACATGTCAATTAAAATTCACAGAAGGGAGTTGGCAGGGATCTTTTACAGTAATCGAAAGATCAGTTCGAACTTTAGAGCCGTCTTCTGAGCAAAAAAGCGCTTTGAGATAATTCCTTCAAGGCCAAAATTTGCTAGTAAATTTGCCGGCTGGTTTCCCAGCGTCTTCCAATCGCTGCAGATGTACTATTGCGTATTCTGTAATCTAGCCGACAGTTCTAGAGTCAAAACAAATGAAGAAATCATCACGTTATTCACGATAAAAACAAAAACAAAAAACTACACACATGTAGCTATTCAGGTCCAAGCGTTTCGTTGAAAACCAAAGACACTTAGGTTATTTAGCCGCAATAAAGAAGCTTAAGGCTTAATCAGAGGTAAAAGAAAATCATTTATCTATTTGTGATCAAATCCTCTTAGAAAACATTTGCCAAAAAATAAA